GGTCTCGTTTACCAGCAAGATGTTGTCTTGTATGTTTCGTTGTGGCATGAACCCCATTTGGTCCATATGAATGAGATGACCTATGTGCGGTAGGAATCTATTGCATAGCGCTTTGGCCCCCATTTTATAGGGAACGGGGAGCAGTGCAATCAGACTCGACTTATTCACACTTGTCATACATGCAAACAGTGATACAACAAACTGGCGACATGCGCCCACACAACACTCCAAGATATCGTAACCAGATAAGAGTTCTCTTCCAACTGGCTATGGCGGTTGTGCGCCCACACAACTCACTGTTCGCACTCTGGATCACCCTGGATATCCCACACACAACCCTCTGAACACGCACACAGTTCACACACAGTGCACTCTAGGCTAAGCTACGACAGCTATGGCTGCCGCTACCTATTGCTATCACTACACTACTTCGTCCTCGCCCACTTCGTCTTCGGGCCTCCTGCAGACCTCCTTGCACAAGACGCTGAAGCAGCGCTTCCGCATGGCTTCCGCATGAATGAATGGCTGGGCGCAGCCTCTTGCTTTATACTTCTATGGTATTCACCAGTTCGCAGTAGCGAATGCAGATCCCAGGGCTCGATCCCTCGTTCCCATCTTACCTGTGTACAGTATTGATGTCAACCCGTAGATTTGAACTTGCGACCTATAGGATCATCAGTGGTAGGTAGACTTTCATAGGTCACAGGGTAGGAGGGATTCAAACTGTAGACTTGTAGGGTAGGAGTCTAAACAGTTCGGAGGTCGTAGCTGTAGACTGCCTGAAGAGTCAAGGTCGTAGCTGCTACTTACCTGAAAGGGCAAAGTCGTAGCTGCTACAGTACCGAAAGGCCAAGTTAGAGATTTTTAGAAGTGGCCTTTCGGAGTTAGCCTGCGTTCAGCAGAGGCAAGTGGTCATCAGATCTTGTAAACGAGCGGTCGTCTTCCGGTTCTTGATAACTAAAATGAACCTTGTACTGTTTCTGTGGACGACCCCTACCTCCAGTTCTGAATACATCTTCAGCAACTATGCCATCGATGTCATACCTTCCATCCATATCGGGCGGAATCATAGATCTACGAGATGAAAACTGATCACTTGTTTGATAAGGTAACAACTTCGATGCATGGAAAACTGGGTAAGTGTGGAGGTATGCTGGGAGTTCTATGGTATAGGACGGTCCATCTTCGCCGCCCTTGACTTCCAGAACAGGCCACTGTCCTCTATATGTGGGCAGTAACTTCTGCGAGATGTTCTCCTCAGGCGCGAATTCTTTAAAACTGATCCTGACTAAGTCGCTTACTTGAAACTGTGAAGGGCGATGATGTTTATTCGCTTGCTCTATCATCCTATGTAGGGCTTTCCTGAGGTTCTTTACAACAGTAGCTAGTTCTTTCTCGTGTTGTACAACAAACTCCCTGGTCTCGGGTGGTAATCTGTGAATCTGATCCCGGTTGAGTCCTTCAAACGGTTTGCGCGGTCTAAAGGACTTGTACAGTTCGTTGGGAGTGCGGCAGGTGGACAAATGCACGCTGTTATTATACGCACTAGCTCCTTTAGGCAACATCTCGTCCCAGTTATTCTGATCTGGCCTAATGTACTTGCACAAAACTTGCTGTAGGATCTTGTTCATTTGCTCTGTCTGACCGTTAGTCTCTTGATGACGGTCGGACGACATCAACAACTTAGATCAATATACTCCCATAAGTTCTTGCCAGTTCTGGCTAGTAAAGCGACTATCTCTATCGCTGACTATAGACAGTGGGATTCCATTCTCACTCACCCAACGGTCAAAAAATTTTTGTATGACTAAATCAGTACGTGCCTCTGAAGGCAAAGGAACAAAAACGGTGTACTTACTAAAACGGTCAACTATGACCATGACTTGGCTCTTGTCATGCCTGCTCTTGACTTGAGTGTCCATGAAGTCTATGGACACCGAGTCTCCCGGCCGATCCGGAATGGGCAAGGGTCTGAGAAGACCTAACGGGGCATGCGTAGAAGTCTTGTTACGCTGGCAGACTTTACAACTGCGAACATACTCTACGCAGTCATTCTTCATCCCTGGCCAGGTATACGCGCGCATTAGATTGGCTAAAGTCTTTTGCCACCCGAAATGACCCTCTGTGTCGTGGCACTCTCCCAAAATCAGGCTACGAATCTCTTCATTGCTGGGAATGCACAGGCGGTCAAAGACATTAGTCTTCTAAAAAAACAACCCTTCAGTAGTGCGGTAGTTCGGCTCAGTCTCTGGGGCCTCTCTGACTTTCTTAAGGAGGTCACTATAGATAGGGTCCTGCGCGTAGGCTTCTCTAATCTTCTGTTGCAGGTCCTTCCCTATATCGAGATAGTGCACTATTGCTCCAAAGTAATCTGCCCTCCTACTCAGAGCATCCGCGACTACGTTGTACTTCCCTTTGAAAGGCTTGAGCTCGAAGTCATACTGATCTATCTTTGCGGCCCACCTAGTAAGCTTAGGTGTCATCTTGGCCAGCGTCTTTAACTATCTCAATGTCTCATGATTGGAATAGACTTCGAAGTGTCTCCCAAGCAAGTAGTGCTTCCAGTGTCTAAGGCTTGCCTAAGAGCGTAGAGTTCCCTCTCATAGGTAGATGTCGCGACCTTCTCTGAAGGCAATCTGGCGAACATGAACTCTACGGGTCTATACCTATTGCCATCGTCTTGCTGCAACACCGCGCCTATGCCGTATTGACTCGCATCGGTCGTGACGACAAAAGGCAAGAACGGATCGGCGACTTTAAGAACTGGATACTCTATCAATGCCTACTTTAACTTCTTCATGGCAGACGTGCAGTCCTTATCCCACTTCTAGATAGTCTCCTTTCTCAGCAATCTGCGAAGGGGCGCAGCGATGGTGGAGAAGTTCCTCACGAACTTCCTGTAGTAATTAGCTAAGCCCAGGAATGAGCGCAACTCTGTCAGCGTACGTGGCGTGGGTCAATCTCTAATCGTTGCGATCTTGCTATCCTCTGGCTTAATGTCGTCTTTGTCTAAGACGTGGCCTAAATACAAAACTTGGGTTTTTGCCCAATCGCACTTCTTTGCTTTGATCTTGAAGTTAGCTTCCCTCAGCTTCTCCAAGACCTGCCTGAGATTACCCTGATGCTCTTCGAGGGTCCTGCTAAACACTAGAATGTCATCCAAGTAAACTACAACAAATCTGTCTAACCGCGGCCTAAACAAATCGTTCATACAACGCTAGAACGTAGTTGGCGCATTGGTTAGTCCGAAGGGCATCCCTATGAACTCATAGTGTCCATATCTATTCCGGAAGGCAGTCTTATACTGATCATCAGGATGCACTTCTATCTGATGATATTCGGACTTCAAATTTATCTTAGAGAAGTACTTCGCTCCCTGCACTCGATCTAAGAGATGATCTATCCTAGGCAGTGGCTCAGCATTCTTCATTGTAATAGCATTCAGACCCCTATAGTCTATACACATTCTCAACTTTCCCTCTTTCTTAGGAACAAAGAGAACAGGCGCTCCAAAAGGAGACGAACTGGGCCTAATCCAACCCTTCTCGAGAAACTCGTCTAATTGCTTGCGAAGCTCCCCTAACTCCCGTGGGGACATCCTATACACAACACCCTTAGGGGTTCTACTTCCAGGCTTTATCTCCATACGGTGTTGGATGGGCCGCGGTACTACTCCTATCGGCGGCTCAGTTAAATCCTTAAACTCCTCCAGCAGCTTGGCAATCGCAGGGTCCATCGGCTTTTTTTCCGTAGGCTCAGTTACCGGCCTAACATAGGCGACAAAAACATGTTCCTCCAGTTTCTCCTTCTTTACTAATCTGGCGAATGCAGGCGCACTAAGGGAGCAATGTGCCAATGGATTCTCTGCTCCTGACACATGGAACAGGCGGGCAGTCTTAGCCTCGCCTGAAGAACTAGGGAGCCTACACTCGTGCTCCTTCAAATGGAGCGTGGCCCCGGCTGCCTCTGCCCAATCCATTCCCAGAACAATATCAAATAGGAGGTTGTCTTCTACGAGGAGAGTCAGGGAGTGGAGGACCTTCTCCACTTTCCCATCTTTCTCTAGGCGGAAATACGCCTGGACTCCCTTTACGTAATCCTCTACAACCATGGTACGATTGTCCGCGAGGATACTAACTATGGGGTCTGCCAGTTTCTGGACTTTAAGTCCCTGCCTCAATTTCTGCAGCGCTTTCTTACTAACACAGTTGCGGGTGGCCCCTGAGTCTACTAGGGCCCCTACTCTACCTCTAAAAATCTCTGTATCTAGTAGGATCAACTGCCCTTTATTCTCCTTCTTCATCTTGGCCCAGGCGGGCCTTCTCTCTTTCAACTCTTCGGCTACGCATGTAAGGGAGGTGTTTAGAGAGACCCTAACACAAGCAGTCTCTGGGCAGAGCTATCTAGACACCGGCCTGCAACCTCTGCCATAGGCACATGTGGTGTGGGAGTCTCCTGCCGGCTAGCGCTATGTTCTTCACATGGCCTAATGGTAGGGACAGTTGCTACCCCGACCGGCGGCTGCCTTTTGGCCCTTGGGCAGCCATTCGGGTCTCTCGATAGTTCAGACAGTATTTAATGATATGGCCCGGGTCACCGCAAAAAATGCACTGGCCCTGGTCCAATCGTTGTTGCCATAAAGTCTGGTCCAGACCCAAAGTTTCCCAAGGCCTACCCTGCGGTAGCCCTGGGTGCCATCCTCCTACCCTATAGGGAGACCTATTCCTAGGACGGTTTTGCGGGGGACCTTGACCCCTGCCTCCCGTTTGGCGGTTTCTTCCTCTGCCGCCAACCCCCTGATCGCCCTGGAACCAGCTCCCTGAGGCCCGGCCCCCTTGGCCCTGGCCTCGTCCTCCTCCTTGCGGTCTCCCCCCAGCCGCGACAGCAGCGTAAGTCCTCCCCTGGCCCACACCGCTGTCCTCTTCCTCTAACCCCCACTCAATCTGTTCGTAGGGGATCTCATCCACACTACCCTCATCTAATGTCAGGACAAGGTTGTTCTTGGTCTTTACCTGCCCTGATATAGTGCGGCCTTTCCATTGCTTCCCTTTGTCTAAGTCCTTGTGCCAGAAGGTAGACAAGTCCTTGTGCTTTCCTATAGTGCGGCCAATTGCTCTTCTATTTTTTGTACCTCCTCCAACTCTTTTGCCGCCTCCGCTGCCGCGTCCACTCTTCTCTTCTTCTCCCTCACCACTGCCAATTTCCACTCCATCCTCTTTTCGTCTTCCAACGCCTGCCGCTTTACAACATCTTTTTCTGCTTCCCAAGCTCTCATAGCGGCTTCCTGATCGTCCTTGGATATGTACATTGCTACTTCTTCTTCTTCGCCCAGGGATAAACTGGCTACCCACTTTGAGATCCGTTTCTCCATCTCCTCATCTTTGCTGCCACTGTACTCCACTCTCTTCCTCTGCAGTGGCGTTTCATCTTCCTCCTCTTCCTCTTCCACCTCTTTCAACTTTTCCTCTTCTTCCTTCTTTATTCTCTCCTTCTCTCTAGCCATCTCTTCTTCTATCTTCTTCAACTTGGCCGCCTGTGCCTCCATCAAGGCTTTCTTCTTGGCCTCCTTCTTCTCCTTTCTCTCCTGCAGAATGGCGGCCATCTTCTCCTCCTCCTCCTTCGTGTAAGGTTGGGTGGAAGCACCACCCCGAGTCCCTACTCTACACGTGAAAGTGGGCCAAAAGCCCAGAGGAAAGAGGAGACGCCAGAGGGTCCCCCAGAGGGAGAACCCAACAAGCAACGCATACATGGGATAGTCATCCATCATGGTGTCTGGTGCACGACAAGAGTCTCACTCCTTACCACTTAGACCTACCCGGACACTGACCTACTGGCTGACTTTCTAAAGACCACTACTCAAACTACTCTAAGGCTGTCACTACTGAACCAGCAGCTGATCAGGAGGCATTTAAGGATATCCCCCAAACTCCGCAGGAATTCTTTAACGTCGCAACAGGATGACGCGATCAGTTTGGCTCTTCCTAGCGATTTCAACCCACAACTCAGCCGTTCCGACCAACTGTGCCACACCGAGCAGCCCGCCGGTCTGTACCGGTTCTTGGAGGGGTTTGTCCCTCGGAACAATCGAGTCGTCAGACACAGATCATCAGCCTTACTAGGTCCGGTAGGGGAGTGGTTCAACCAGGCCTCAACAATTAAAGACGACCTTCGTTTCAGCCTACAGCTCGGAGTTCGGGCCCTCTACGCTGAACTCAGTAAACCTGCCAGACAGTACCGGTCATTGGGCTAGACGAGTTGTTTAACGAGCGCTCGCCGCTCATGCCCAGGTCTCCAGATGCCAGAGTAGAGCTTTGGTCCTACTAAGCCCGTGCAGGTTTGGCAGCAAGGCCCTATCCTTCATCCACAGAGTCCTAACACCTAGGACAAAAGAGACTCAATGCAGAAAGAGTAGACAGACAGACTCAGCAAGTACCGTGGGGTAAGTGCACATCCATAGGGTAAGGGGATAGGTTGAGGGCTCAACGAGATATCACCAACTCCAGCTTGGTCAAAATCAGGGTCAGCAGCTCCGGTCAATGCCTTGGTCAATGCTGAGTCAACGCGGACAACCCCAGTCAACGCTTGGTCAACACCCCTGGTCAACGCCTGGTCAACCCTCTGGTCAACCCTTGGTCAACCCTCTGGTCAACGCTCTGGTCAACGCCCGGTCAACCCTTCACCTCGGCTATGGCTGCCGGCACCATCAGCTTCGTCACCCTCGCCGCTTACTTCCCCTTCCTTCACTCTTCTTCTTCTTCACTTTTTTTTTTTT